ATGCTAATCTCCTCTCGCGTGCACAAGCAGCTGGATAGAACAGGTGGAATTTACGCAGCTCATTTACACACTTTCCTGAAGATAGAAGAGTTTGTTGAATCTGACGTGACATGTTCGTACGAACCCTTCATACAAACAAAAGTAAGAGAAATTTAGGATAAGAATACGAACATGTTCTTGCATGAGGCCCATTGTGATTTGGCTAGAATGCACAACATCATGGACAAATGTTGGGCCGTGTAACAGTATTTATGTAACTCAGTGATGTTTGGTGTTAGGAAACGAGACAAAGCTCACCTAGAGATCAAGAAAATGTTCTTCAAGGTGATCGAAAAACGCCGTCAATCTGGAGAGAAAGCAGATGACATCCTGCAGACCCTCATCGATGCCACCTACAAGTAGGAAAGCACTAGTTGATCAGGATTTATCAATAAAATCCAAATATTTTACACTCTATTACATGATGGGTGTGATTTTATATGTAAATATTTAAAAATAATGCTAAGAGAATGCATTTAAAGTCATAACACTGGTCTTTGCAGAGAGGGTCGACCAATGAACGATAACGAGGTCGCAGGGATGCTGATCGGTCTCCTGCTGGCGGGTCAGCACACCTCGTCCACCACCAGCGCCTGGTTGGGGTTCTTCCTGGCCCGAGACAAAGCTCTGCAGGAGCACTGCTACGCCGAGCAGAAGGCGGTGTGCGGAGAAGATCTGCCTCCGCTCGACTATGATCAGGTTAGAGCCGTGAAGATGTTTTTTCAGTAACTAAAGACACTCCTGAGGGTCATAAAAAGACAATAAAATCGGACAAAAACTCTGTAAGAAAAACTCTAAGAAAGTTAAACAAACTGAAAAATATCAAGTAATAATATTTCAGAAAAGACACCAAACAGAAAATAATAAAGCATTAAACGCAAGAAAAAACAATTCACAAAATAACGTTTTATATCAGAACAAAAAACTACAAAATGAAAGCAGAAAGCAAGTTATTTGTATCTTAATGTAAGTGTTTTTTAACCACTTGTCTTGTAATTTTAAGTTGAAGGATCTCAGTTTGTTGGAGCGCTGCCTAAAGGAAACCCTGAGGCTCCGCCCACCTATAATGTCCATGATGAGGATGGCTCGAACACCTCAGGTGAGTTTACACATTACATTTTATCTACATTAATCTCTTTTCGGCTCTTAGACAAAATCAATATATTCTCTTGAATTATCAAACCTTATAGTCAACATTTCTATTCGTGCTCTCAGACTGCTGCGGGGTACACCATCCCAGTGGGTCATCAAATCTGCGTCTCCCCAACCGTCAACCATCGTCTGCGGGACACCTGGATGGAGAGGATGGAGTTCAACCCTGATCGATACCTCAACGACAACCCTGCTGCAGGAGAGAAGTTTGCCTACATACCGTTTGGAGCCGGTAAGATGAGTATTTGAGGTTTGTTTTTATTTATTTTAAATCGTTTTAACCACTCTCCTATATTCAGGGCGTCACCGCTGCATCGGCGAGAACTTCGCTTACGTTCAGATCAAAACCATCTGGTCCACACTGCTGCGCATGTTTGAGTTCGACCTTGTGGACGGATATTTCCCCGCGGTCAACTACACCACAATGATCCACACCCCTTACAACCCCATCATCAGATACAAGAGGAGGAAGCAGTGAAGACACGAGGGATCTTTCAGAGAATAAAAAAATGAAGTTCTCACATCCTGGGACTTGATTTGAGGAAAATACAGATTAACGCACTTTTTTTTTACTATTGTAAAAGCTGTGTTTTCACACTTAAGTACTCAAATCTAAATCAAAATGTCAGAAAAATCCAATCTATAGATACTTCCTGATTAAAACACATGACTCTGTTACTCCAACTTCAAAAATATCACTGGTAATCAATGAGTTTTAAAAGGGAAAATAGAACAGCGTTTAGACAGGATCATGTTTACCACTGGGCTGCATCAGTTTTTCTTTAAGAAAAACTGTTTTCATGTTTGGGAACTGAGGAGACAAGTTGCTGTGAAAATGTTTAAATTGAAGAGTTGACTGAAAAGTTGAATAGAATCTTGCACACCTTTAACATTCTTTAATATCCTTGTTACAGCTTTGAAATGAGCTGCAGATAGGATTGAATTCAAAGTAAATGTATGCAATGAACATTAAAATTTTGTACTAGTCTCAACTTTTCTCCTTTTAAATATTTGGTTTTGTGTCTGTCTTTTACAAACCTGAACTGCAGTGAATTAAATCACTAAAGTGTGCTTACAGAGAGAAGAGAAACTTTTGTATCTGAATAGAGATTTTAGTTGTTTTGTTTTTTTGCAAACATGACCGAAGAATGTGATGTTTGTTGGCTCTATGTCCTTTTATTCCAGTTTTATTAAATAAACAACAAAAAAGTGTAATCCATTAAAATCTGTTCCTGTGAGCAAAATTATTTTTTTCTCAACTTATTAGCAAACATCTCAAAAATTAGCACCCAAAGCACATGTTGAGCTACAATCAAACCAAACTTTAGCTCAATATAGTTGCTTTGGAAAAATGAATTATCCTTTAAAGTCCTACATTTCTCCTCAGGCCAAAAGTCAGTGACCTCTTTTGCTTACCTTAAAATGTCATGTTTTATGATCTTACTCTATCTTCTGTTTTCTCTCGGACGAAGTTTTTGAAGATCAGGACAATATCTGTTTAGAAGTAATCATTCTCTCCTTGGCCCATTGTCTGGAGTACCTTCATTCTTGGACCACGTATTTCTGTCTTTGTTAAATAAATATTTCATGAAACATTACAGATTATAACATGAACACACAAAGATATTGTTCACTTTGTCCTTTCAGCAAGTAAATATACTGTATATATTATATATATATATAAACCCACAAATATCTTTCAAATAATGTGGTACTCTTTATTTCAGTTTTTGACAAAATACCCCAAAATTTCAAAGCTCCTACGCTTTACAAAAATACGTTCTCTACAAATGTCTTCTGTAGTCTCTCCGGCCTTAACAAAACACAGTGTAGTGAAGAAGATCCAGTAGCAGCCTCCTGAACAATAAACCCAAACATCCTCAAATGTAACGCTCCACCCATTCATCACAAACATATAAATTAATCACAAAGTCCTTAAATTAGCATTAGACAAATATACATTATTGTAGATCATCCACAAAAAAGAGGCAGATTAAATTACAAACATAGCTGTTTTCTTTTTTGTTTTTTTTCCCCCAAGTGCTGGCGACAAAAAGCCTGAATACATCATGTCGTACACTAATAAAAAAATGTGTTTTGGTCCACATGGAGACATACAGTCCACAGCAGAATGATAGAAAACAACAGAGCGCTCAGCACGAGAGAAGGCAACTGAGTTACTTCAAGCCAAAGTCATTTGTCAGCATCTATCTTCTCAAGCCAAAGTGCAATTGAGCATATGAAGAAGCACCTGAGGAGAAAATTAAAAAAAAATCTTGTTTGGTACATTTAGTATCATTACGTGGATGAAATCCATCTGAGCCGTATGAGTTACCTGATGTGACGCTGCCCAGCCTCCTCTGCAGAGCCTCCAGTCTGGAGATGTAGTCGGTAAGCGCTCGGTCGGGGTCATAGCTCTGGAGGTGGGAACAGGTGAGAGGACCGTGGTCTGCGGCCAGGTGAAACCTGACAAAAAAATTCAAAACATGAGATTAACTTGTTCATTTTACCTTTTGACGGCAATACATTTAATCCAAGTAAGAGAAGAAGTAAAAACTGAAAATACTGATACTTTTCAAGCCAGCACCAGGTTTTATTAAAGGGGGTTTATGATCAAAAATAAATTGGACTTTGCATCATAGCCTATCTGAACAACTTGAAATTGGCCTCTGTATCTGAAACTCCCACCGTTTCTGACACTCCCAATTCAGCACAATGCTTCAGTGGAGGGGTGCACTGTTGGGCGGGAGCTCGGCTGCAGACTGAGCTCCAGGGAGGAGCTTTGTGCAAATAGGCGGAGCTTTGTGCCAGCAAGCATTTAGGCAGCTCCACATGTTTTACAGGAGATTCAAGGATTTCTCAAACATGCATGAATGAGTCAAAGCACCACTCTGGGTATGTTTTTGATCGTGATATAAAGAACGTGATACAAAGCTAAAAATGTTGATTTTGCATACCAACCCTTTAAAACACTTATTAAAAAAGCATATCAACTATTGGCCTGATGCAGAAACTATTAGTAGCATCCATATTGACAGTCGTACCTGTGTTGTGTAGAGGAGGCGCCTGATCGTGGGGATTCACGCCCACTTCTCCCCCTTCCGCTGCAGACGCCTCCTCCTCCTCCTCTTTCCCTGTACACCTCCACACTGCTCGGGTGAAGATACGGTGAATCCCTCACGTCAGAACCTGAAAAATATTCAAAAATCGTGAGTTCCTTCAAAGTGATGGTGTGAAAAATCACAACACGACTCATTTTGCTTCCCATCGTCTGACCTGCTCCGTTCTTGTTGACGCCGCAGGAAGCCGTGGAGCTCAGCCCCGTCGTCTTGTGCCACCGCTTCACAAGGAAACGCATCCTGCAGCAAACAAAAAAAGATCAAAATCAGCGCCGTTGCTTCCTTAAAGAAAAAAAAAATCAAACAAACATCTGGAATTATCACGGATGCTCACCTGGAGAGGGCGATAGAGACTCGGACGGCAGAGCGGAAGCGCATTAATCCCCGGCGGCGCTGGCTGTAGGACTCCAGGCTGGAGAGAGAAGGCCGGCCGCCCATCCTGGACAGGAGCGACAGCGTGGCCTCCTCACACTCCTGGAAACCACCCAGCAGTAACAGCAGATACTTCTTCTGGTAGATCAGTGCTTTCCGGAAACTTTCTGACCTCAGATACCTCCCGTACATCCTCTGAAGATGATGACAAAGAAGTTCCATCATAAACATGTTTACATATTAGTGGCAGTTAAAGAGGTATTTATTGGCCTGAGATGAATTAAAGTAGTTTTTTTTGCTGACCTTTAGTGCAGAGTTGTCAGCCTCAGGCCCAGTTATCTCTCGCAGTGTTTCGGACCTGACTTCTCCCGTGAGACGTGCCACCTGGGACTGAGCCTGACGCAAAGCTTTCTCCAGTCGGATCCTCTCTCGGGTCCAGGACTCCCGCTCCTGAGAAAGTATCAAACCTGCAGAGTCCATCTTTGACGCTCCTCTCCTGCTGGACTGCAGACAAATGTAAAATATATGCTTAGTTGATATTCTAATTTAATTTTTAATAGTTTGAATTCTGATGCAGAATTGTCTCTTTTGTCTGTTCCTTTTTCATTGCATTTGTTTTTTGTTTTTTTTGAGAGCGGACTCACGMCGTCGCCTGATCCCAGTCCTGACTGCCGACAGCGTCGCAGCTCTTCTTCCAAGTGCAGCGTGTGGTTCCTCAGATCGTTCTTTTCCTCGGTCAGGCGGCTGACAAACCCCGTCAGCTCGGCGTTCTGCCTCAGCAGCCGCTCCGTCAGGGTGCTGGAGGAGCCTCCTGGCAGCAGGGGCACACTCTGAGAGGAACAGATGAGCAGTCACAACCGAGATCCGCAGAGGTTGTTTAGAAAACGTTTAGATGAACAGCTGATTGTAGTTTAGTCTCCTTTGGATTTGATTGAAAATTTACAAAACAAAGAAAACTTTAAGCGTCAGAAAAAACTGACCTCTGGGAGAGAAGGTAAACCTGGGGACTGCTGTAGCATAGTRATGACCTCATCAACACTGGACTGGATCCATGACAACTCGTCACTGTCTACCTCTGCAGTCGGCCTTTTAAAAAACACACAAAAGAAAAAAAAGAGAAAAATATTGATTTGAGCTGTATTAAAAATCTTAAAATAGCTTCGTTAAAGTGACTTTAACAAACTAAGCCACAATTTATGGTCAGAATTTAGTCTTTGTTGATAAATTTAAGTCTGCTAAACAACTACAAGAATCTTTTTCTGGTACAATACTTAACAAAAGAGCAGAACTGAAAGCAGGTTTAGTTTTATAAAGATACACAACTGACACAGCTGTTCGTAAAATGTCGTTTTTCAGAGCTACAAATAAAATTTAAAATTAAATAAAACAAAAACTTTAAAAAGGCAATGGCTGAAAATGTCTTCTTCCTTATTTGTAAAACAATTAGTGCACAACTCCAAGTTAGACTGAGGCTGAGCTGCTTTGATTACCTGCCAGGAGTTTTGCTGGTCATAGTGTGAATTTTGGAAGAGATAAGGTGGAGTTTCCCCACAATCTTATCGACGGTGCGCCACGGCCCGTGGTGTGGCCCGCCGGTGTGTGTTGTTGGAGAAACGTCCACACGAGGACACACTATGGCCGACTGAGCACTCCCACTCTTCTGCTGGAGCACCCAGTCTTTGGTGCGGTCAGTCGACTCACTGTGCCAAACAGCCTGCAGTTTACATAAAAAATAAAAATAATAAACTTTATTACAGTCTACTGATTAAAAGTAGCAACATATTCGGTCACTCACAGTCTGATTGTTAACCTGTGGAGCTCCACTCTCCTTCTCTTGGCCTAACTGGTCCAGCCGCTCTTCCAGTCTCGTCCTTGTCTCCAGCTCTTTCTTCAGCTGCTCTTGAACCTCTGACAGTTGTGCTCTCAGCACTTCCAGCAGGGCCCGGGCCTCCAGGAGGGCCTCCTCGTCTCGTTTGGATCTCTGACTAGCCAGCGTCAGCTCCTCTTCTCTTCGAACTACTTCGAGGCGCTGGGCTTCGACCTGACTGAGGAGGTGCACCACCTAAAGATGGAGAGAAGAGTCCAGGTATGTGGAAAAAGAAATGACTCCTCCCTTGTAGTGTCTCCATTTAAATGAGTAATCTGCAGGATTTACTGACAGATAATAACCATTTGTGACCCATCATATCRAAATGAGGATTAAGTCAAATTTGGTCAAAATGACCTAACTACATTTTCAGATTYCTGGCTTTAAAAGCTACATTTTGATACCTGGATCATTTTGATATCATAAAAGGAACCAGAGATACGCCTTAATTTGTTTTGTTGGTTATGATAACACATTAATATTTGGTCTGGATCCTAATTTTATGTAATTTTTTTGAGGAATTTTTCATTTCCTTCTGTAGAGGAAATCTCAAATAGTATTTATACGTATACTGAGATTTCCAAGCTGGAAAGAAACAAAAACTTTGATAGCTTACAGGGAAAATCTCAAAATTTCATGGCATTTTTCCTCAAAATCAGTTTTTTTTGTTGTTACCGCTCAAAAAAGTGCTTTAAATTTTTTTTATGATTATATTTCACATAGTTCATTCAAATGAAACATTGGTAAGGCATTTATTTGTTATATTTTGACAAAATGCAATTTTTGTAAGTGTTTATATCAAAACACTATATTTGCCTATTTCTCCATAAACCACTTTTAGACTTAATCCTCGTTTCAATGTGATGGGTCACATTTATTCTTGTATTTTATTCGTTCACATTAAGGACAGAAAAAAAACAAACATACCTGTGAATRTTTTTCATCCAGCTCCCTCTGCAGTTTTGCCAACAGACCTCCCTCCTCTTCACGGTGCCCCTCCTCGTTAGGAGGGTTGCTTTCGGAAGAGAGGCCGGTCCGCAGCTCCCTCTCTCTTCCCAAAGCAGAGCTCATCTCCAGGGCCTTGGCTCGCCCAGTCTCCAGCTGGACCTGGAGCTCCTGCAGACGTCTCTGGAGACTCAGATTGTCCTGTTGGGCTTTCTGGGAGAGCTGAGAGGAGGCCTGCCGCTCCTGTTCCAGGGTCTGGGTCAGCTGGACTACGTGAGCCTTCTGCTCCTCCAGAGTCAGCTGCAGGTCCTAGAGAGAAAATTAAAACTAGCTTTAAAAAAACTGAGATGTTGAACCTTAAAGAACATTAAAGGGTAGAGATTTTTGCGGCCTCACCTCCAGCTCCTCTCGTTTGCTCTCCTCCGTTCTTCCAGATTGACACCTCTCCTTCTCCACCGCCCACTGAAGATCTCTGCTCCTCTTCCTCTCTTCCATCAGCTGGTCATTCAGTGCATCCAGCCCTGCAGTCTTTTGGGATACTTCTGCCCTGTTGACGGGTTGAAATCGTTACAATGAGCTACATTTTAACAATATGCTGTATTTTCTTTTGTTTCAAAATTTAACTTTCCTTAGAAGACCAAAAGTACAAAAAAATAAAAATAAACTTAAAAAGCTAGAATAATCATACAAAAACATTTTCAACTAACTTTAAAAGAATAAACAAAGTTTATATGCAAGAAGAAATAAATTGTTCATTATAACTTTTAAAGTTTTTTGGGAGTGATGGATCAGCATTAAATGATCAAGCTACAGAATAAAAATTGGACTTCCCTGTAATCAGATCAGCAGTGTTTGTGTGTCATGTTCCACCTGAGTGCGTCCAGCTCTTTGAGGTGTTTGTGTTGGGCCTTGAGCGTCGTCTCCAGCTCCAGCTTAGTCTGAGAAAGCTCCACCTTCAGCTCCTCGACGAGAAGCCTGTCGCCCTCTTCTGCTCCATCGCTTCCTGCTCTCTCCCTCAGCTCATGCGAGCTGCGCTCACCGGCAGCCGTGAGGCMAGGCTGGGCATCTAAACGAACAAAAACACAAAAACCATTACATCTGGAACTTAAAAAAGAAGCTTTGTTATGATTTTATTAAACTAAAAAAAAAACAAAAAACAATAAAGGATGAAAAAACTTAAAAGCAAATGATATTAAGCTGGTTTACTTGGATGAAGGTGCTCTAGTTGACGACGGAGTTGGTGAATCTCAGAGATGAAAGTTGATCTTTCTGCTGTGTGAAGCAAACTCATGGCCTCTCTGTGGTGGGCGTCCTGTATCAGAAACGTACAATCAATGTGTTTTTATTTTCAGACTGCTTTAATGGGATCCATGATTAGCTGTAACATTAGACTTTATTTAATAAACATGTATTTTAACTGTAAAATAAAGACTGTAAAAATAC